CATTTTTACATTTTACTAGTTGTTAGCCGTCTCTCTTTTGTTTTTTGATGGTTAATATAGATATAACAAATAATCTTGATATTATTTGTAGACATTTTAGAAAAAAAGCAAATACTATTTTCAAATAACTATAAAACGTTGTTATTTAACTTATATGTTAAAATACATAATGGTTCAACAACTTATTTTCATCAGTAGACTGTGTTCTTGGACTTTAACTTCACAAGTGTTAAGATATTTTCACTTTTCAAACATGGTGTACATGTATTTACAATTTAAACCTAACCTTCATGACCTGATTAGCTCTGTCCACTTTCATATGCTTAGGCCAATAGCATGTCAAAGTTGTGCATTATTTGCCTGATCAGCAATTTCTTTCTTTGATAGAGAAAAAAAAAACATTTGCTCTGTTGATTCTCCGGGGAACAGCAACTTGATCAATAAACATGGTTATCATCAATTCATGAGTCTACGAGCCCAACTTGATTTATATATGATATGTATGTACTTACTCGTCCAGGAGGGCCACCTGTGATTCCAAACCCTTCGGTCTTGCCACAACATTGTAAAACAACCAGCATTACGGCTACGATGAAAATAACGCTTTTGGTTTTCATGTCTGTTAATAAATAAGTAACAAAATTGGTATCAGATGCTAAATTACAACGGTTTGTTAAAATCAATGTTGTGCAAAAGCGAATATTGTATAAACGTGTTTTTTTAGAAAAGAAAAGGAACTCGCTGTTATTGGATCGCAGTATGGATTAATATTAGGTACTTACTTGGGTAATTAGTCAGTCAGGCGCGTAGTTACACTGAGTTCGAAGTAGTTGTGATTCACGCGCGAATGTATTTTTATACTTTTTCACCATTACGTCATTATGCAATTAATTAAATTCACTTAATCGTGCGTGTCAATGTATGGTTGCTATGCGGCTACCTATGCTTCAACTGTCGCTGGGAAGAAAAGAGTTGAACTGTGTTGCCACTATATTTTTGTAATTCATCAACGGGTTTGTAACTTTATTGTTTAAAGCATTATTGGATTTTATTTGTTGTATGACATTTAACGGATTTGATGTTTTGTTTTTTTACCGCAAGACTGTGATAGTAGTTTCTCTGTTAGTTAATTTGTTTGTTTGTTCTTTGGTAGGCTGTCTTCCAATTCGAAATAGGACCTTTGTTCATTTTTACAGGTGCTAGATCTTTCATTCCTCATATACACCTGTTCTTTTTGGGGCACCCATATAAATATCGTCTCAAAAGACAGAAATTGGAATCGCTCGATTTTTGCAAAGACATTCGGTTTGTGCCTTTCACATTATACACGAGATCTCATAGTGAACGGCCTATAAATAAACAAATTTCTAGTGATTTTTATGGAATTGTACTATCAGTGAATGTAATTGAGTGTTATGCCCAAATGTGGGGGTCATCGGGTTAGGTACATACTGAATACATATGAAGCAAATTGACTGAATAAAATTGAGAG